CAGTATATATTAGAAAATTGCAACATAAAATCATTTTCAAGCTTGTACCCTATAACCTTTTCTTTCTTTTTTCTTTTTCTTTTTTTAAAAAGACATTTTCAAAAATCATTCAATTTAAATTTAAATGTTAAATATACAAATAAATCTGAATGTTATATTTAAATGTTAAATCTAAATGTCATAGGCGGAGTTTCACTTTTATGGGTGGTTAGCCCTCACAGGAAACTTTCTGCATTTTTAGATTTTCAAAATACTTCATTCTGTATGATTCATAAGCTTGTTTCCTCATGGGGACCTCAAAAATGTCAAAATTTGTCAAATGTCAAATTTGTCAAATGTCAAAATTTAGTGGTATTACTATCCTTGTGGGGACATTTGGTCCCCATAACGAGATAAATACCAGGTACACACACACACAAACACGCACACACACACACACACACACACACACTATTTATTGTGGTTGCTATATCCATCTTTTTCTGAAAGTACACCCATATGAATGTGAACTCAGGGTATTGCTGTAAAAGAGTTTAATCAATTAAAAGAGTCAATTTTCCCTGAATAAACAACAGTTTATATTTATAATTCCATCCTTTCATACCAATCTTTGGTTTGTTCTTTTTTCATAGAAGTGGAGGAGGGTGAAGAATTGGGGAGGATGATGCTACCCACATATTCATCTAAAATTCCAGGCCAACTGAATGAGAACCACATACATGCACATACATGCTCAAACACACATACACTTCAGTTCTCTATTTGCTACATCGGGTCTCTAATGAACGAATAATTGAAAATATGGGATACCCAGAATAATCAAATATCTAAATTAATACATAACCAATAGTTAGGATTAATTCCTAATTAGAAACAATCTAAATGTAATAACCATTTGAAATTGGAATCAGATTAAGTGCGCAGCTAAAGTAAAACTGAAACTAAATTCTAAAAACTAAGTGAACTTCACAGGGGCGCTGAAAAGACATACACGCATTATACCTTTGCCCAGGCCGTTGGATTCTGTCGTTGGGCCGACGGGTCGTTATCCTTGCACATTTTTATTCAGCGTTATTTAAGATGGTAAATGTTTGGGATGTTACATTGTTTCTACGCTGTGCACTCAGGTTCACAAGTTGTTGGAGTCCATATGGCCAAAGGTTCTACTCTGACTGCACATTGAGGATGATTCTGACATCAATCAGGATTATCCATCCAACACACTGACAAATCACTGTTTGTTTATTAGGCGTGATCAGGCCTGTTCTAAAGCCCCTAAATTGTTATATTAACAGTAAAAGCTTTTATATGTCATTCTGTCTGTTTATGTTATAAATGCTTGAAAGTTAAATGATCTTCACTATGCTTTCAGGTTCAGACGTTGTTGGAGTCCCAGTGGTCAAAGGTCTTATTCCTACTCCATACTAGGGATGATTCTGACATGAATCAGGATTATCTGTTCTACATTGATTTGTTGCCGTTTGTTGGTTAGGCCACGTTCAGGCCTGTTCTAATTCTCGTGTTCAATTGTTCTACTAACATTGAAGGCATTTATATCTCATCATTGAGGGTAAGTACAGAGTTCTTGTTTTGCATGTTTTTTGCATGCTGTGCTTTAAAGGTTTGGTATGTACATGATCTACAGTTAAAAAGTAAAAGATGTACATCTCCAAAATGCAGAAGTACAGCAAAAGTACAAATATGTATTAATTTGGACTAGAATGATGCATCCCATTTGGTACATGAAGCTGTAGATTACTCATGTAATGTAGACCCATTAACATACCACACCCCTAATATTATAAAGAGTATTGACATGTGTTCTATGGGTTTTGCATGCATTTACATTACTATTTATTAACACATTTACTAAGGGACAGTACTACAGGGTATTAGAATGACATTACATTTTTCTGTGTTAGGGAGGCGTAAACCACCAGCAACACTCTCAAAACCAGACTGGCCTGATGAATATAGTGCTACTGCATCTCCACGGCCAGGTTGGTATATGGACGTGTACACATACCGACTCTACTGTAAGGATATGCCTGTTCCTGATCAGTGTTATTGTTTTTCACCAATTCCCTTCACTCCAGTGAGGGTTCCTTTTACCTCCAGAGTTGCTTGAATTATCTACAAGCAAGACCACATCGCCTTTGAGACCAGTGCAGGAAACCGTGTTCTGTCAGTGTAAGGACTTAATGTAACATCATTTTACTTAATCTAATTTAAAACAGATTTAACATATTTAAAAAATGTAATGCTCATCTATGACTAATGTCACCCATGTCATCCTGCAGCCCTCATCCCAGTGACCTCTGTACAGTCTACAGCCTCTACTCCTCCCTCAGGACCCCTTGCAGCTGCTGGCCAGTCTTTCTTGGGACTCCCTGCAGCCTCTACTGGGTACCCCTCAACTCAGTTGGAGAACAAATGAGATATATATTAATATTAAATCCAAATACAAGTGACAGAGAAAACAGCACGGATTATCTACACAGCGGTGATCTATATGATAAAACTCAATCGAGCTAGTAAACAATCGGCAGTAATAAACTTAAAGCTAGCTTAGCCGTCTCAATAGTCTTACAAAGATGAAAATAGACACTGTCCTAATATTACATGATGAGAAAAACTCACAGACGTTGCTTTAGCAAAGGGGAAAAGGAAAAGGCGATCGCTCGAGAAACGGATGACTGAGAGAGCTCGCAGACTGCTGCGACTGACTACCGCATAGCGATCTACTTCCTGATTCATGACGTGCGCAGTACCGCGTTACTACCGTTACAAAGATAAACAGATGACGCTGTACTGTTGAAACAAAACAAAAACGCCTTTTTTTTTTCTTTTTTTTTCTCAAGCGGCATGACAACTACACTCTGCCATGTCTGTACGGCTGTCTGAATCCCAACGTTATCTCATCAGGAGTTGGACGACCCCATGTCATTGTTGGTACAAGCAGCCAGTACTACATACTGGCCTCTCGGCTCAGCTGTAAAGTCTGTAAAAAGTACTGGTTTGCAGACAAACCCCAATGGATGGACATGCTGCCAAGTCGGTTCTGCAACATTTTGCCAGCTTTTCTGACGCACAAGAAGGCCATATGTAAGACTGTGATGGATGAGTTGTGGCGCACAGCAAAGTCTCCCAATGATATGGCCAATCAGTTGAATGAAGCTCTCCACCTCAGGCATGAGCTTGCACACCTGGCTTACCTGTCTGTTAAGAATGTGCTGGATGGAGACAGTGGACTTTATGGTCAGCAGACCATCACAGGGGCACTAAGAGCAACAAATACTACTGCTCCATTTGGTGAGTATGGTGATGTGGTCGGCTGGTGCAGAGTAACAGTCTCACCCCACTACTTGGTTGACTGCCTCATTCAGGAGTACCATAGGCAGGAGAGCACTCTCAATCTGCTCCTTCAAGGCACGTTTGGACAAGCCTTAAGGGCTAACCATACCCGCAAGGTGGCCCGGAAGGTTGTGCTTGCATCAGGTACTATGTCGTCCTACGCTGTGATGAATGAAAACTGGATGATCTTGTCCTGGGTGATGCTGCAGTCTGAAAGTGATAAATCCCTGCAGCCAATGTATGATGGGCTGTCTCATCGTTACGTTTTTGCAGGACTGCCAAAAGCCAACTACCAGTGGGTTGACAGGTAAGAACCAGTCGTCACATTTTCCTTCCCACCTATATTATATTTGTAAAGTAAACAAAATATAGTATAGCAAATACATGTATCCTATGTATTTGAATGTTTAATATTTTAAATATACTTCTCTTTGTGTGTGGAACAGAGATTACTGTGCTGCCTTCAGGATCCCAAACCCTGAGCCCCAGCAGCACATCAGGGAGCACTGCCGCACCAGGGTCCCACACCCCAAAGAGCTGCTGGAGAGAGTGGAGAGCATTCTCCAAAGATTCTTTTTAGAATGCGATCCTGATGGTGTGCCACTGTTCAAACCATTGATGTTGAAGGTGTGGAGGATTCAGCGAGTCCACATCCTTTGAGGCTGCCTTAGTGACCCCGAGGTTACAGAGGGGATCCTCTATAGGCATTGTGGAACGGTCCAGCTGAACCATGTGAAGGGGGAGGCGGCTGCTGTACCCGTGTGGATCCCTGTGAGAGGCACCTCTCAGCAGGAAGGGTTCCATTTCCATCAGGCACTCAGGTATCCACAGAACTTTGCCAAGTGCAGGGCATGATTGGAGTGGCTCGCTGGAATTTCCAGTGCCTTGTGGACCTGAAGCAGCCTGGAGTTAAGCTGCCTGCAGTTTTTGATCCTGTGCTAATCATGGAACTGAACAAGCTCTCAGGCGTGGTGACAGGCCAGGCCAAGTATCCTGCCTTACTTGTCTCACAGACAGACACCAGTGAAAGGTTTGGACTGCAGTATGTGGAGCCTGGTTGTCGTCCTGTCCCCATGGACTGGGACAAGCACAAGTCCCAGAAGGTACCTGTTGCAGGGGAGGGAGAGCATCAGTCCTCAGAGCCGTCTGCTCTCAGTGAGAGATTCTCACCTGATGACCTACCTGAGGAGGTGAGGGAGGAACACTTTGCTCAGGTAAACTTGACTGTTGTACTTACAAATATCCTCACTCACTGAAACACAAAATGTACACTACCGGTCAAAAGTTTTTGGACGGTAAGATTTTAAAAATGTTTTAAGATTAATTAAAGCTTTGACAACACAAAAATTAATTTCATTTTAAAATATATTCAAATAGAAAACAGTTAAATAAACTGTAATATTATGTAAAAATATTTCACAATATTACTGTTTTTGCTGTATTTTGGATCAAATAAATGAAGCCTTGGTGAGCAAAAGAGACTTCTTTTAAAAACATTTAAAAATCTTACCGTCCAAAAACTTTTGACTGGTAGTGTAACTATGTAATCACTGATTTTAACCCAAATGAATTACCCTATGCTCCAGGATGACATATTTGGTGTGGCTTCTCTTGGCTCACAAACAATGATCCAGCCTGCACAGCCCACCAAAGTAAAAGGTAATTCAGCTCACATCTTCATCCCTTAATTATTACTTATTTATATGAATACTACAGATATTTCAGAGATAAAAGTGAAAATGATTTATTATTTTCTGTCCTTTTTCCTCGCCTTTAGATGAGATGACACCACCTCTGCCCTTTGCTCCCTCTCCACGAGCTGCTCGCACAGGTCCCATTTCGCAGGTGGTCTGCTTTTTGTCCTGGACCATTTTCGGTGGACACAACCCATGAGGGATTCCATTGATGGCCTTCTGGCAAAGTACCATGTGCAGAAAGACCTTCTCACCCAGGTGGATGCGGAGTATGCTGCCCTTGTGCAGGCTGCCTCCAGGGATCCCAGTAGCCTCTTACACCCCACCACGAAACAGCATATCTCACGTTATGTGAAACACCTGGCCAAGATGACGAACACAAGTTCATCCCTGAACACCAGTTCAGAGAAACTCCTGGAGACCCAGCAGCTGTGGCATCGCCTCACAGAAGGTAGTGAAACTGTAAGTGTTCCAGTGGTAACCCTCCCACCTGCCCCAGTGAACCCACCCAGTAATAAGCCC